TGGGAGCACTGGGAGGGGGCACTGGGAGCACTGGTGGACAGCTGTGCCCCTGGTGAGGGACACTGGGAGCACTGGGAGGGATCACTGGGAGCACTGGTGGGCAGCTGTGCCCCTGGTGAGGGCACTGGGACATTGGGAGGGGGCACTGGGAGCACTGGTGGGCAGCTGTGCCCCTGGTGAGGGCACTTGGAGCACTGGGAGCACTGGGAGGTGGCCCTGGGGCACATGAAGATGTGGGTGGTGGCACTGGGAGGACACTGGGAAGTGGCCCCGGGGCACTTGAGGATGTGGGCGGTGGCACTGGGAGCACTGGGAGGTGGCCCCAGGGCACATGAAGATGTGGGTGGTGGCTCTGGGGACATGTGGGGACACGGGGAGGTGGCCCTGGGGTGTGGGTGGTGGCTCTGGGGGTGCTCAGGGACACTCTGGGGTGGCCCTGGGATGGCCCTGGGATGGAAGGGGACAAGGGGGTGACCCTGGGATGGAAGGGGACATGGGGATGGCCCTGGGGACACCAGGGATGGCCCTGGGATGGAAGGAGACATGGGGGTGGCCTTGGGGACATGGGGGTGACCCTGGGGACACCAGGGACACAGGGATGGCCCTGGGATGGAGGGGGACAAAGGGGTGGCCCTGGGGACACCAGGGGTGGCCTTGGAGGGTTGTGGGGTCACAACAGGGTGGCCTTAGGGGGCCACAAGGAGATGGGATGGAAGGGGACATGGGGGTGACCCTGGGGACACTTTGGGATGGCCCTGGGATGGTAGGGGACATGGGGGTGACCCTGGGGACACCAGGGATGGCCCTGGAGGGTTGTGGGGTCACAGCAGGGTGGCCTTAGGGGGCCACAAGGACATTGGGGAGGGGGTGTCTCTGGGGGTGCTTTGGGATGCGGGGTCACCCCGACGTGCTCGGGGACAGTTTGGGGTGGCGTTGGTGGCACTGGGGGGACCCGAGGGGCCCTGGGGTGACCGGTGCCACCCCCCTCCAGGGCTGTGCCCCGACTGGGACTCGTGGGACCCGAGCAGGCCCATAGACAACGCGCGGGAGGCCATGCAGCAGGCGGACGAGTGGCTGGGCATCCCCCAGGTGAGACCCCCAGTGACCCCCCGGTGATGCTCTGGTGACCCCTCTCCATAAACCCCCCCAGTGCCCCCCCTGTTGCCCCCCTGGAGACCCCCCAATGACCCCCCAGTGTCCCTCTGGTGACCCCTCTGGTGACCCCTCTCCATAAACCCCCCCCAGTGACCCCCTGGGGACACCCATTCTTCCCCCCCACAAGGCTGGGGGGGCACAGGGGGACCCCAATGACCACCTGGTGAATCCCCCTGGAGATCCCCCCGTGACCCCCCGGTGACCCGCCGGTGACCCCCCTCCATAACCCCCCCCCGTGATGCCCTGGGGACACCCCATCCCTCCACCCCTCCCAGGCTCGGGGGGTGCAGGGGGACCCCAATGATCCCCCTGGAGACCCCCCAGTGACCCCCCTGGTGCCCCCCGCAATGCCCCCCCCCAGGTGATCACCTCCAGGCTGGAGGTGTTTAGGGGGACCCCAGTGACCCCCCTGGTTCCCCCCCCAGTGACCCCCCAATGACCTCCCCCAACGTGATCACCCTCGGGCTTGGGGGGGTTCAGGGGGACCCCAATGACCCCCCTGGTGACCCCCTGGTTACCCCCCAATGACCCCCCTGGTTCCCCCCAAATGACTCTCCCAATGTCATCACCCCCGGGCTGGGGGGGTTCAGGAGGACCCCAATGACCCCCCAATGGCCCCCGTGCCCCCCCAGGTGATCACCCCTGGATTGGGGGGTTCAGGAGGACCCCAATAACCCCCCCGTGCCCCCCCAGGTGATCACCCCCGAGGAGATCGTGGACCCCAACGTGGACGAGCACTCGGTGATGACGTACCTGTCCCAGTTCCCCAAGGCCAAGCTCAAGCCGGGGGCCCCCCTGCGCCCCAAACTCAACCCCAAGAAGGCCCGAGCCTACGGCCCAGGTGAGGGGGGGGCTGCGGGACCCCCCCCGGCCCCACCCGGCCTCGGGGGTCGTGGTGGGTTTGGGACTTTGTGGGGGGCAGTTCCCTGGGGATTTGGGGTCCTTGGGATTTGGGGATTTGGTGTCGTGGGGACGGTTCCCTGTTGATTTAGGGTTGATGGATCCCTGTTGATGGATCCCTGGGGATTTGGGATCCCTCACCCCATCCTGGGGGACTCTGGGAGCCCCCCACCCCATAGATCTCAGGACCCCGTTTGTAGGTGTGGGGTGGGGTTGGTTTGGGGCTTTGTGGGGGGCAGTTCCCTGTTGATTTGGGGTCCTTCCCCACATCCTGGGGGGCCCTGGGAGCCCCCACCCCATAGATCTTGGGGCCCCATTTGTAGGTGTGGGGTGGTGCTGGTTTGGGGCTTTGTGGGGGGCAGTTCCCTGTTGATTTGGGGTCCTTCACCCCATCCTAAGCCCCCCACCCCATAGATCTTGGGACCCTGTTTGTAGGTGTGGTGGTTTGGTGTTTGTAGGTGGTGCTGGTTTGGGGGCTTTGTGGGGGGCAGTTCCCTGTGGATTTGGGGTCCCTCACCCCATCCTGGGGGGCCCTGGGAGCCCCCCACCCCATAGATCTCGGGACCCCATTTGTAGGTGTGAGGTGGTGCTGGTTTGGGGCTTTGTGAGGGGCAGTTCCCTGTGGATTTGGGGTCCCTCACCCCATCCTGGGGAGCCCTGGGAGCCCCCCACCCCATAGATCTGGGGGGGCCCCATTTATAGGTCTGGGACCCCCATGGTGGGCAGGGGGGGGGGCTGACTGGGGAGTCCCACAGGGAATGAGCCCACCAGGAACATGGGACCCTTGGGGGGGGTGTGGGACCCCTGGGGTGGGCTGGAGGGGGGCTGACTGGGGGTCCCGCAGAGATGGAGCCCACCAGGAGCACAGTGACGCTTTGGTGGCTCCGGGACCCCTTGGGTGGCTCTGGGACCCCCGTGGTGGGTGCGGGACCCCCAGGGTGGGTGTGGGACCCCCGTAGCGGGGCAGGGGGCTGACTGGGGGTCCCGCAGAGATGGAGCCCACCAGGAGCATGGTGACCCTTTGGTGGCTCCGGGACCCCCATGGTGGGTGTGGGACCCTTGGGTGCGTCTGGGAGCCCCCATGATGGGTGCAGGACCCCCGGGGTGGGTTTGGGACCCCCATGATGGGTGTAGGACCCTCGGATGTGTCTGGGAGCCCCAGGGTGGCTCTGAGACCCTCGGGTGCATCTGGGACCCCCAGAGTGGGTGCAGGACCCCTGTGGTGGCTCTGGGACCCCCAGAGTGGCTCTGGGACCCCCATGGTGGGTGTGGGACCCCCATGGCGGGTCAGGGGGCTGACTGGGGGGTCCGGCAGGGATCGAGCCCACTGGGAACATGGTGAAGCAACGGGCCGAGTTCACGGTGGAGACCATCAGCGCGGGGCAGGGGGACGTGCTGGTCTACGTGGAGGACCCCGCCGGGCACCGGGAGGAGGTGAGGGGGGGCTTCGGGGGGCTCGGGGGGGCTGGGGGCGGCAGGGGGGGCGGGGGGGGGGGCTGGGGAAGGGGGACTGGGGGTGACGGGAACGTCCCTGTAATGGGTTCAGGGCTGGGGGTCTCTGAGCTGGGATGGGGTTTGGGGGTGGGGGTGGGTCTCCAAGTGGTTTGGGGGGCTCTGGGGGGCTGGGGGTCAGTCTGTAGGTATTTTGGGGGGCTCTGGGGGGCTGGGGGTCGGTCTCTAGGTATTTTGGGGGGCTCTGGGGGGCTGGGGGTCGGTCTCCAGGCAGTTTGGGGGTCTGGGGGTCAGTCTCGAGGTGGTTTGGGGGGCTGGGGGTCAGTCTCTAGGAGGTTTGGGGGGCTCTGGGGGGCTGGGGGGTCAATCTCTAGGTGGTTTGGAGGGCTGGGGGTCGGTCTCTAGGTATTTGGGGGGGGTCTGGGGGTCGGTCTCTAGGTATTTTGGGGGCCTCTGGGGGCTGGGGGACCATGGCTGGGGGTCTGGGGTGAACGGGAACGTCCCTGCAGTTGGTTCAGGTCTGGGGGTCTCTGAGCTGGGACGGGGGTTCAGGTCTTGGGGGGGGTCCCCGGGGGGTTGGGGGTCTCTGGGGGGTCACAGGACATTTGGGTTCCCTTGGGGGGGTCTCACATCTCCCCCCTGTGCCCCCCCAGGCTAAAGTGGTGGCCAACAATGACAAGAACCGAACCTTCTCCGTGTCCTACGTGCCCAAAGTCACCGGCACGCACAAGGTGGGAGCTGGGGAGGAAGTGTTTGGGGGGGTCCCGAGGCTTTTTGGGTGGGGGGCTGTGTGGGGACATTTTGTATGGGGCTGTGTGAGGACGTTTTTTGGGGACATTTTGTGTGGGGCTGCGTGAGGGGGGTTTGTGGGGACTGTGTAGAGTTGTGTGAGGGAGTTGGTTGGGGGTTATGGGGGCCGTGTGAGGACATTTTGTGTGGGGCTGTGTGAGGGGGCTCTGGGGGGCTGTTTGGGGGCTGCGTGAGGGGGTTTTGTAGGGGGACATTTTGTGTGGGGCTGCGTGAAAGGGTTTTGTGGGGCTGTGTGAGGACATTTTGTATGGGGCTGTGTGAGGGGGTTTTGTGGGGACTGTGTAGAGTTGTGTGT